ACCCGAGTTAGAATCTCGGCTGGGGACTAATAAAATTAAATTTTTTTTTTCTTGTTTATTTTATTTTATAAATTAGTAAAAGTTATTTTGTCTTATTAACCTAAAATATTTTTTTAATTTGTGGATTTCCGTAAGTGGGTCGTAAAAAAATATACTGTACAATTCGAGTGGATTGTCTTTATCGCACTTAGACGATTGAGCTTCGTCCGTATGCTATATGGCCATCATATCCACTCTTGTTGCATAAACTAGTGATAGATATTTTCTGTTTTCCTATAAATGTTTTGAAATAAGGATTTTATTTTAAAATCTTTTAAGGTATAGTTTATTTATTTAAAACACTTTACAATTTATTTATAACGTACTAATTAATTTATATAATACTTAGGCACTATTATAACTCACAATTCTAATTTATTTATTACAATTTATCTTTTCTGCTCAACACTTCATTTGAATCTTCTTGTCCATCGACGAACTCGCGCTTTTATATAAAGCCTGCTCTATAGTAGAACTCTCTCGGCTTTCCAGAACGAAACAAAGCTGCCTTTCTATAAGTAATACGCCGCAAAGGGATCAATTCGGTAGTTTCTCGAAGCGATGCGATTGACTCTATATGGCCAGCTAGACTTTATACCGCGATCAAGAAGTAAAAAAAGGAACAGAGACGGCTTTCGCATCACATTGCCCCCTCCTTAAGAAATAGTTCCTCCTGGAACTAAAACTGAATGATTGTATCTGCAACTTGACCCACTCTTACAATTTCCATTTGTATGGAAATAATAAGAGACGGTTTTTGTTGAAACCTGAACACTAGGCGGATGGCTGCAGACCAATGTTGGGACCTCAGAATCTTGTAAGATTACTTTCAGCATGTTTCTAATGATCCTCCAATTTAACTGGTTGCTTTCTATCTTGGGCATGGCTAGTTTCTGTACATTTGAATTCAGTACGTGCTCACTCAGACTGAGTAATGCTTCTCATACATGATTAGTGCATCGATATCAGAAGGTGTTCTTCGTTACCAAATAGAAAAGATAACGCGATCCTTCTTGAAGTTTCAATGCTTTGTCAAGGGCAGGTAACTTGATCTTGAAGTTCTGGCAATCGACTAAACTTTTTCTGGTACACAGATGCCAGACCTGGAGCGTCGTTGATGTTGGCGGAAGTGCTATGGATCAGCGAGTATTCTTTAGGAACCTTGAGTAGATCTTGCTTTTCCGGTACCTCCATGTGCACCCATAAATTTTTCAAACACAAGGTTAAGTGATTTTTGGAGCTGTTTTACTTCTTCTTCCTCGCCATAGTTACCCTCAAATGGCGCCAGCCGGTTTTGGTGAACTACCTTCGGTTTACGGTTCGGGATCTTTCTTATACGGTAAATAACATAATTAAATTTTTTCTTATTTAGGTACGGACCTTTCCAAGACCTTTGAAGCTTTGGAGAATGACCCTTTTGCCTTTTTATAATATGGAGCCAGACTTTGTCGCCTTCCTTAAAACATCCTTCTGAGGCTTGGGTATCGTTTCGCTTCTTCATTCTGTCGCTGGCGATTTGCAGATGCAAGCGAACTAACTCATGCATGTCGTCCATTTTTCGTCGTAGTTGGGTCACATAATCTTCATAGGCTATGTCTTCAATAGGTTGGCATCCAAACTCGAGGTCACACGGTAGTCTCATCTGACGCCCAAACAGCACCTTTGCTGGTCTTTGGCATGTAGGTAGATTCATTGCCATTGCAAAGAGCGAAACATTTTCATAGTTCTGGTTTTCTTCATGCCTAGTCTTTCACAGATTCCTCGGAAAAGCTGGCTTTCAAAATGTCTGCCTTGGTCACTGTGGATCTGCAAAGGCACTACAAATCTACTGATACATTTTTTAATTAACATGTCTGCAACAGTTGCGGCCTCTTGATTTGAAATGGCGTAGACTTCCACCCACTTCGTGAAATAATCCATAACCACCAGCATTTATTTATTACCATTCTCAGTGATACGAAATGGTTCAGCAGTATCTAAGTGAATCCTTTCAAATGGGCTACCGATGTTGTACTGCTTAGTGGGGGCCTTCCTTTTTCGTTGAGGTCCGTTACTCAGAGCACAGGTGGTACATTTCTTACACCAGTCCTTCGCATCATCGGAACTGTTCATCAAATAAAACCTTCTACGAACTCTCTAAAGGGTTTTATTATCACCGAGGTGTCCTTCTGATGGACTGTCCTGTAACTGACGTAGTACTTCGGCTACTCTAGTCTTTGGAATGACCAACTGTCTTCTGTTTTCGGAACCATCATAATTCTCTAGTACTCGCTTTAATAAACCTTCTTCCAGGATAAAAGAGTCCCACTAAACCCAATATGATTTAACTACTGGAGAAAGTTTCGACACTTCTTGCCAAGTAGGTAGACGATTTTCCGCTTTCCATTGTCGCATCTTCTTTAAAACTGGATCGTTCTCTTGTTCTTTCCTAAGTTTGACAGGGTCTCACTCACCGTTGACAATCGTTGTTCTTCGTACTGTAACTTCTTTAGCAGTTATGGCCAACCCGTTTCCAATCAGAGTTCATTGACCGACACCTTCAGTGCGCTTCAAAGGTTCCACCATAACAGACGTTACTTTCTTTACAGTTCCTTGTAACCGTATTACTCTTATTGTTTTACCATTATCAGGCACCAGCGTTTCTTCCTGTACAGCCACCGACACGGTTTTTCGATTCGTAGTATTCTTTGGGCGTTTGCGCGAACTGCTTACATTTCCCATTTCACGATAATTTCAGTACCTATTACTCTTCGATTGCTTCTTAATAAGGCCTTTTATCATGTGAAACAATTGCTCGAATTTATTTCCCTGTTCTTCCTCTTTTACAGTTCCTACTTCACTGTATCCACCAGAAGCCAGCGTAGCGCTTTATATTCAAGAGCAGCGAACAAGACATCGACCAATGTTTTGTGACGGACTGAGTGAAGTGTTTTTTGCATTTCATGGTCACAAAGTCCATCAACAAATGCTTGAACAGCCAAACATTTAATCATGTATTTCGGGGCTGATGGGTAGCCAAATCGCAACATTTTCGCAATATCTAATTCGAATTCTTGAAGGCTCTCAACACCTTTCTGTTTGCGATTATTCAACTGTAATCGGTACACCTGCTCCAAGTGTTCGTGGCCATATCGCATGTTCAGTCTCTTTTTGAGTTGTTCAAAATCATCTGTTTCTTCCACGCGTATAGTCTGAAGGACATCTAAAGCGTCTCCTCGAAAAGACGATGGTCAAATTTACTGCCTTCTCTTTTTTAGCCATTCGTTTGCCCTGGCAGCGGTTTTGAATTGTTTAAGGTAGTTGGTTCATGACATCTTTCCGACGAAAATTGGGGATTTAACACGAGCAGAGTTCACAGGTCCTTCCCACTTCGACTTCACCTCATGGTACTTTATTTCATTGTCCTTGGACTGTTCTGTATATTCCAGTTCTTCTATTTTCCTTTCTGTCTCTTTTATTTTCTCCTCTACAGAAGACATCTTGTTTTGTTTTCCACATCAACAGAGATTTCATTTTTTAGAGAAGACATATCAGAAGAAATTTCATCTTTCAAAGAATAGATTTCGTTTCCTTAATTGGAAGAAATTTAGGTTTTCAAAGAAGATATGTCAGAAGACACTTTTTCTTCTAAGGAAGAAACTTTACTATCTAAGGAAGAAATTTCAGTAGTAACTTTAGTTTCTAAGGAGAAAATATCATTTTTTGTAGAGGAGACATCAGAAGATATATCGGTTATCGTAGAGGCCATATCAGAAGACATTTCAGTTTTTAAGGAAGAGATCTTATTTTCGGCTAAGTTTCTCGAAGCGCTGCGTTTGTCTCTATATGGCCAGCGCTAGACTTCATACCGCGGGCAAGGAGTAAACATGGAACAGAGACGGCTTTCGCATCATAATATAGAAAACTTTCTATTTTTAATCTCCAAAATTAAATAAAACTAAAATCTGATATTATTTTAATTGTATCCTTAAGTCTTATCGAAACATACTAATTTTAAAATATCTCTTCTATTTAATGTTTAAGGTTCTTTTTCAATAGTCTTAATATTTAAATTTCTTCAAATCTGACAGATCTTTGTTTAAAAAACTTTGGGCAACAAAATTAATAATTTTTTCCTTGTTATGAAGAGATTATACCTAAAAATTAAAATGGGTATATTGTTGAAAAATAAAATTTATGATTCGTGGTAAAAATTGTAGTTCAGTGCTATACAGTTTCTGAGCTTTAATATTCAGCTTCCTTAAAGACAAACTAGAACAATTAGTGCCCAAATTCTTCCTTACTTCTCAAAAATAATTTAGAATTAAAACTTTTTACAGAATGTATTTCTTTTTTATCTTTTCTATTTTGTTTATACTTGATCTCACCCTCTAGTGCATATCAAGGATGAATCATATTTATATTTGAAGAAGTTAATTAAAGATGAATATTATTTTTATTTTTACAAAAAACACACTGGTTTGAAAACAATAATTTTTATTTACTGCAAAGTTGACCATGAAACTTTGCACATTGATTATTCTTTTGACATAGTAAGTATTTGAAATGTACCATTTTAATTATCTAATTCGGAAGTAATAATTTTAATATATGATAAAATGTAAAAAAAGGTAGCTTCTAGCTTTGGTAAATTGTTGAGTTTTGTATTAACGAAAAACCAATGCTTCTGCTTATTCATAAACTTCGTAACTTTTTCATTTCAAATTTGATTGGTTAGACTTAATTGCAATGAGATGCATTATGTTGATAGAAAGATGAAAGATAGTATTACTCTTTTCTGTGTCTTATATAATTCAGATTATAGTTAACTATGTAGTTAAATGTTTTTTTATTCGACTTATATCTTAACCCTGCAATTTTATTATTACAAACTATCGTTGCATTTCAAAATGTGACAAAGTTTAAATTTATAATATGCGAAAGGGTCGGTATTAATAAACTTTGTAATATTTTTATTATAGATTACCGAGACCAAATGAATCTAGCCACTTCTTTCCTGGACGCTTCCGCCATCTACGGAAATACGGATCAACAAGTAGAGAACCTGCGCACATACGATGCCGGTCTAGTCAACGTAACGGCCTGCTCGGCGTGCAGATCTAACGCCCTTTACTCCGCCGTTTTAAAGGAGCATAACAGAGTCGCAGTAAACTTGGCCGAGCTCAACAAACATTGGAACGACGAAGTGTTGTTTTACGAATCTAGAAGGATAGTTATTGCAGAGTTACAGCATATTACTTACAACGAGTATTTGCCTATTGTTATTGGAGAGGTAAGTTTTTATTATTGCGATATTGTAAATTAGTCTTTTCCTTTTGTAAAATGTTCACTTTAACCTAGCTCAATCTTTGATTAAAAAATATTAATTGTTAATAAGAGGAACACCGAAAAACTTTCGACTTGGTCAAACGGTTCATACGGCAGTGTCTTCTTCAAATGTCCTCAAATGAACATTGATTCCCGAAATATTGGCAATAAATAAAAATAAACACTTGATCACTTGTATCTAACTATCCATGATAAATATTGTATAAAGAGTTTTTAGAGTTCAAAAACCGATTATCTTTATCACTTAAATACGACCCTGAAGACCAACCTGGTGGACTATATTACTATCGATTAATATTATCTGTTGTGATGTGATTCTAATAATTACATTATCTGCATTTCTTGATTCTCTATGGTTAAAAACATGGTATGATGTTAAGTTTTTCGATTCACAGTACTTGACATGATTTATTAAAACATTAAACCATAAATATAGCAATGAATATAAAAACAATGAAGTGTTAAAATTGAAAGTACAGGTAGCTAAAGTCAATTTACCGAGAAAACCAAATCACTTGCATGGCATAACTGCCTCAAGTCTAATGTTATAGTAGGTTGTTGCGAGAAGAACGATCTGTTGCTTCTACCAGCTTTTTGTAGTCAATTGTTTTTGTGTGCTATCCCTACAAACTGCCTATCGTACTTTCTAGGAGCTTGATGACGAAATCTTTTTAGCACGGCATAATATTACCTCAGCCCTTGCAAGTGCTATTAGATTTCAAACAGTTCGTCGTTTATACGTACGAGAGAGATAGATATATTTTAGTTTAATAAACTCCGTGCTTTTAAATAAATCGCACGACAGGGTCTGAACTTTTTTTTGTATTTAAATTATTCATTAAATTATTATTAGTGATTGAATGAATTATTATTGAACAATTAATTGTTTAATTATTAATTGATTAATCGGTTTGGCTGAGCTCTTCTGATGTATTTCCAACAATAAATTTAAAAATAAAATAATAAAGTTATTATAAGAAAATACGCATTAACACCTTTTTCTAATTTTGACATATAAAGTGACATATTTTGTAATCGTAAGTGTCAAAACGATCTACTTTATTTCACTAGTTGCATATAGTACGTCACCAGTTAAGAAATAAAATAAATAAAATGCCCCTTTTTTGGTTTTTAAATCGAAAAATCGAAAAATCGAAAAATCGAAAAATCGAAAAATCGAAAAATCGAAAAATCGAAAAATCGAAAAATCGAAAAATCGAAAAATCGAAAAATCGAAAAATCGAAAAATCGAAAAATCGAAAAATCGAAAAATCGAAAAATCGAAAAATCGAAAAATCGAAAAATCGAAAAATCGAAAAATCGAAAAATCGAAAAATCGAAAAATCGAAAAATCGAAAAATCGAAAAATCGAAAAATCGAAAAATCAAAAAATCGAAAAATCGAAAAATCGAAAAATCGAAAAATCGAAAAATCGAAAAATCGAAAAATCGAAAAATCTAAAAAATCGAAAAATCGAAAAATCGAAAAATCGAAAAATCGAAAAATCGAAAAATCGAAAAATCAAAAAATCGAAAAATCGAAAAATCGAAAAATCGAAAAATCGAAAAATCGAAAAATCGAAAAATCGAAAAATCGAAAAATCGAAATCGAAAAATCGAAAAATCTAAAATCGAAAAATTGAAAAATCGATACACTATTAGCAATTGAACACAATGTTATGATTCTGTTTCGGTATTAATATCACTTATCTTGTTTGTGTATATTGTGAATGTATTAATATGGAGTTTTTATTGGCCATCATAAATATAGACTTCGTTTCACTTGTCTTGTTTATGCTGTATGTTAGTTGAACTATTGGAGACGAAAATGTACTTAACTCGAAAAAGACAAAATGGGGTTATCCCCACCAAACCCGTATTTAAACATTAGCGTGATATTTAGCGCAGTGTACGATAAATGTATTTCGCTTAAGGTTTTTTAAAATAGAAACCTATAGTATTAAGAAGCACGTACTTAATAGTGTTTCGGTCCGCAAAAAAAGCTTGGAGGGCTGCATGTGGCCCAAGGGCCGCAGGTTGAGTATGGCTGTATTAGATGATTTTTAACTCTAGATTTAATTAATCGGCTAGTATACTTAATTTATCACAATTCTTATCCAAAATACTTATATCCTATATTTTATGTTAAAATTGGATGCAATTTATTTATCAAAACATTTCATGTTTTTGGTCTTTTGTTTTGTGGAATTGATTACTTACATTCATGAAGAAATAGTATACTAAGAAAATTAAGTTCAGTTTGTTGAACTTAAATAATATTAAACTTAGTCATTGCCTTTTATCAAATTCTGTTCCATATTGCGTATCACAAATATTGTTTACATTAAGTGGTTATTTTACTTTGTAAGAATGACTTAATTAAATTAATTATTGTGTTCTAAAAACAACATGAATCATATAAAAATGGGATATAAAACAATTATTAACTGTCGATTGTTTCTCTGTTATTTCTCTATTATTTATCTATTATTTCTCTATTATTTCTTTATTGTTTTTCTATTATTTCTTTATTATTTTTCCATTATTTCTCTATTATTTCTCTATTATTTCTTTATTATTTCTCTATCATTTCTCTATTATTTCTCTATTATTTCTCTATTATTTCTCTATTATTTCTCTATTATTTCTCTATTATTTCTCTATTATTTCTCTATTATTTCTCTATTATTTCTCTATTATTTCTCTATTATTTCTCTATTATTTCTCTATTATTTCTCTATTATTTCTCTATTATTTCTCTATTATTTCTCTATTATTTCTCTATTATTTCTCTATTATTTCTCTATTATTTCTCTATTATTTCTCTATTAGTTCTTTAATATTTTTCTGTTATTTCTTTTCATTTCTTCGTTAATTTTCTATTATTTTTATAGAATTTCTTTATTAATTTTGTATTATTTCTACTGTATTGGAGAGGGTGGAAAGCAAGTGTACTGTACTATTTAATGTTGATGAATGTTACTTCTTCGAAAAGTTTCCGCCCTAACCAATACAAGAGAGCAAAGTGTTTGTGTACAACTCACCACTTTCACACGAATAAAAGTCATACACATACTAAATGATTTATTTAAATAAACAGAGAAGTCAGAATAACTTCTCACAATATAACTGTAATGATAAAAAATAACAGAAATGTATTGCCTTAGACGTGGCAACACTGCACGTTTACTCGAATTTTCCTTAAAATTAAATAAACGAAAAATAGTCAAAAAACTTACATATTATGTGTCACTTTCAGCACTGATTTTATTTATATTAGTTAAGATGTTTAATTGGCTCGTATACATCTTGAAAAAGAGAGATTCAACTTAGGGGTTGTTAAAATAAACATTTTAGTCGTTTCCACCGCTGGCGCACAAAACAACACCAATCATTTTGAGTAGTGGGGTACTATGTGGTGGTCTGAAACCCGATCAGAGAGATAGGGAAATATTTTATAATTGTACAGAATAGAGTTACTATTAAGTCGCGCAGTTGGATTTTAATTTTCAAAATCCAACATCTACAATATTTCTCTATTTCTTTATTACATCTCTAATATTTTGTATTTCAGGAAGCCATAGTACACACACAATTGGAACTGAAAACGCACGGAAGGTTTTCCAAATACTCCAGTACCCAGAAAGTTGGAGTGTTTAATGAAATAGCCATTTCTGTACTGCCAATACTTTTATCTATGTTACCTAGTTCTGTGGTACGTATAATGATTTGAAACACTATAATATTTGTTTCTCAATACCATATTTTTAATAATACATAGATAATACATATTTATTATTTTATTGTTCTATTATTTGCTTCTAGTTAAAATTACTATATTTGGTGATTTTTGTGCCTTTATAATAAATACAAAATTTTATCTTCCTATTTTTATTCTAAATCTACTGGACTATATTTTCCAGTTATAGTAGAGACGTATTTAAATTTAAAAAATTAGATTTAAATATTTTAATAGTGTAATATACAGGTGAAAAGAAGATATAAAGTTCCTATAAAGATATATTCAAAAATACCTTGCAAGGGAGCAACACCTTTTTGAAGAGGACCCCCTGAAGATGATTTTCTGACGATATTTTCAAAACCGGTACTTTTTCACATCGTTTTGTCCTAATTGTGACGTCCCAGTTAGAAGTACAAAGGTTTTGAACTAATTATCACATTCAAAATATCAGTTTTTAGACAAATTCAAAATTTGAAGTAATTATTGGTACCGGTTTCAAAAATATCTTCATGGGGTCTCTTCAATGAGAGGTTGCTCTCTTATAAGGTATTTTTGAATATTATTTTCTTACTTATTTTCACCTATATAATACACTAATATTTACCTCTAATTTTGGAACACCCGGTGTAAAAGAAAGAAAAACATCTTTGATTTTTATATTTTTATTTTTCATCGTGCGTTTTATCAAAAACTTATTTTATTCGGAACTAGTTAAGGTGAGTACAGCACCCCCTTATAATTTTCGGACAAGCATATTTCAAAAAGTAATTTTTTTTTTAAGTTAAAATTTTGGCATAATAAATTAGGCAATAATATCTAGAATATGCTTATATTTTAAAATTTTAATTATTTTCAGTTTCCAAAAAAAAAAAATAAAGGGGCTTTAAATTTTGAAATATCATAATGAAAATAGATGCATTCCTCAACAGCAGTATTCTTAATATAATCCCCAAATTTAAGCTCTCAATCTCTTGTTATTAATTTTTTAAAATTCGCCAAAATTAAAGGCTAAAAGGCCTCGTTAAGTGCTGCTTTCTAGTCTAACGCGACTGTAACTATCGTATCGTACACCCTGAGTCATCATTCGTTTCTTGCAATGATTTACACCAGTTTACACCAGTTTAAACCAGAAAATAGCACTTAACGAGGCGTTTCAGCCACTAATTTCGGCGAATTTTAAAAAATCATTAACAAGAGATTAAGAGCTTAAATTTGGAGATTATATTAAAAATAGTGCTGTTGAGGAATGTATTTATTTTTATTATGATATTTCAAAATTTAAAGCCCTTTGATTTTTTTCTTGGAAACTGAAAACAATTAAAATTTTAAAATATAAGCATATTCTAGATATTATTGCCTAATTTATTATGCCAAAATTTTAACTTTTAAAAAAAATTACTTTTTGAGATATGCTTGTCCGAATATTATAAGGGGGTGCTGTACTCACCTTAAGAAATCATGTATTTATTACTTTCACTTATACCATAGTGTACGGCGTGGACTACCACCAGCAATTGCATCAATCGATATCTCAGAAACTGGATGCAAGAAAAATTTGAAAATTTGGAAACCTGCTAGAGGTCTATTCAGTTAAAATATTTTCATCTAATGGGCACTTTCGGTTATACCAGAAATACACCTTAAGTCGATTATTTTCACCCTATATATTATTACATTTTTTTAAAGATTCTGAGCTCATTTCATGTATAAAGTCCTATATGAAAAAAAATATTTGTGGCAGTTCTCACAATCTCATTTTAAACCTTATAAGCATTATTAATTATCCAAAATGAAAATATTTTAAGTGAATATGCCCTAAAACTAGATGTCTAGTTCCCAAATGTATCCTACATCCAGTTTCTGAGATATCGATCGATGCAGTTACTGGTGGTCCACTCTGTATAAATATGTTGGTATCTAAAAAACATATGTTTACAGATGAACGAGACAGTAGAATCCTTCGCTGAAATGATAGATCTCCTAATAAGAACACCAGCAAATTCACCCAGCGTTCACATAATGGTACCAATTCGCACTGAATGGGACACGGCATCCTTGTTTATACACATGGGAAGAGATCATGGTATACCTTCCTACACCAACTATCTGCAATACTGTACGAATTCCGTCAATAAAAAACCTTTAAGTTTCGAAAATCTCAAGAACTTTGGTATTAAAGATGAATATATTAAGGCGCTGAAGTATATGTATAGAAGTACCGATGATATTGATCTCTTGGTAGGAGGGTTGTTGGAGAAACCCATTCCAGGTTAGTAAACTTTCGTTAAAAATCGATTTTTTTGACTGGCAATTCAGAATAATAAAGAGTTCAGAAAAATCGATTTTATTTTTGTTACTTATAATTCAGATTTTCGATCTGGAATTTCATCTAAAACTCAAACAAATCAATTTTCGAATTTCAAGTCTTAAAAATTATTTTTTTTTTTTTAATTACAAGTTAGAAAAATTGAGTTATGAGTCAGTAAAAAAATATATTGTGGCCCTCTTTTGTTTCCGTATCTGTGTAGGCAAACCACCAATGAAGTTTTATCTTATAAATCAATCACTTTACCAGTGGCGGTTTGCCCGTAAGGGCACTTGGGTACGTGCCCTTGTATAATAAACCAAAAAAAAAATAACTTACATATTTTATATTTTCCTCAATGCCTATTATTATTTTATCTAATATTCAGCCCAAAACGCGTTGGCACGACACTGGACGACCGGGCGTTGAGCGACATTCCGAGAATTCCGAAATTGGGCACAGAGCACAGTAAATGTGTGCCTCTGTTGTTTTCTCTCTTATTATGATGCGAAAAACAAGGACAATGACAATATCGCTTAGCTAGAGATGAACACATGCGATGGATTATACGTCACAAGCGGGGCGCTGTCTTCATCGTGACGTGCTGTACCTATGGCACAGATTACCTAGACCAGATACGAATGTACGCAGCGGCATCTTTACTGGCACCCTCACAAAAGCGATGCCGGTTTCGGCTTAAGGTGCGCGTTTGTTGGACCATGATAATAATTTATTTATTGTGATTACGAAAAAACGTTGGTTGGACCATTGGAATAGTTAAGAAATAAAACTACAAAGAAAAATAACTTTTTTTTATAAAGCAGTCAAAAATATAATGAAAAAAAATCAATAATATTTATAAAAGGGACAAAATTTTGTCTGACTTTTTGGAGGATTTCAAATCTCTGTTTGCATATTTAAGAGTGTCTTATAAATAATTTAATGGTGTACATTTTCGCAAATTGTTGGCAAAGATGACTTAATTCTATTTTGCTCATCTCAAAAAGGTATGCGTTGGAAATTCCAGGCTTAGTTAATAAACTATCAAATAGAGATATACATATTTTTTCTAATTTAAAAATATAAGAGAAAAATTTTTCGCTGGGAGATTATAAATTGCCAAACACCTTTTCTTCAGAGTCGTAGACTTTCAAATGCTCCTACACGATGTAATTTTACATCGAAGTGTATCAATACTAGTTTTGTTTATAAAAAGGATTTGATTAAATGTCTCGAAGAAATTATGAACACAGAATTCGATAAAAAAACTATTAATCAGACTAAAGGGTTGATAAATTTTGGAAGACAGGTTATTTTTCCTCAGCAAAATTGCGATATACTTTTTAATCAACTGCAGAGTAGACAGCTCGATGCTCTCAAAGTTAAGATAAACATATCAAATTTTGCACCAGCTATTCAAAATATTAGAAATAATATAGATACGTTAATTCATGAAGAATGGCAATCACAACAAGACCCACAAGAACTAAACTTCAGCGACAACACCCAATCAGGTCCAAGTACAAGCAAGAAGAGACGGTTTGTTGAAAAGGAGGACCCCATTCCTAATTTAAGGATATGTAAGGAAATTTGTGATACAATAGTAGTGTTGGCAAATGAACGTTTTAATTTTACTGCCCACCTAACAATTGCAAGTTTATTTGATAGTGAAAAATTTAAAGACTACCGAGGTTGTTTTCCAAATGAGGACGTTAAAACTGTGTGTAGTTTATTTCCAAAGGTTAACTACTTAATGAACTGTCCATACTTTACACCCGAGATGACTTTGTGCAACACAATGGGGCCGTACCGTTATTATAAATGTTTTTTGAGAACAATTTGACAATTACATTTTCGGAATCTATGGAGCTGCTAACTATCCTGTGTACAATTCCCATGACCACAGTGGAGAATGAAAGATGTTTTTCGACACTAAAACGTATTAAAACATTTTTAAGGAACACTATGTGCCAAGATAGATTGTGCGCGTTAGCCATGTTATCCATCGAAAAAAAACTTATTCGGTCCATTCCAAATTTTAATAATCTGGTCATCGATCACTTCGCTAGCCAAAAATCCAGAAGAATGGACTTCAACTATAAGAAATAGTATACAACTGCAGCGGTACCTAGCAGTTAGTCTTCAATTTTGTAATATTTAATTTGTTTTGAAATATATTTAATTTTCATTGAGCGGAGAACTTATTTTCCTAAGGGAAAAACGAATCCAGGGATTCCTTTCCAGTGTGTGCCCCACTGCCGCTAGTGCCCACGAGCCGCCACTGCTCTTTACTATCTACTAATTCAAAATTATTTTAAAAAATATTTCATAGAAGACAAAAATAATTCCTATGCATTAATTTGGCTTTAAAGGAGAAACATTCGACCATTGTCCAAGTCCGCCAAATAAGAAACATCATTAGAAGAAACTAACTAAAACTAAAACATTTCGTTGCCCAGACAATACATACAGTAATTGAAATCATACATTACCCAGACAGCACAAAAATATTGCATAAATATTCAATGCATATCTCAACTGCATTCTCCTATATTCCATGGATATGCCATATCAACCATGGCATATGACAGGAAGATTGCAGGAATATTCAAGGTCACCATGAAACATATGCCCACGATATGTTTCTATCTGCTAAAATATGTGTATGGCCTATATTCATGGTATTTTGAATATTCATGGTATTTTGAATATTCATGATATTTTGAATATTCATGGAATTTTTTTTTTAATGCAGTACCATACTTTAGAAAATATAACCCATACTTGAATACAAATTTGTAATACAAAATAAATTTTATTTGAAAAATAAAGCAAATTTTCAAAAAATAAAAACAATACATGACGGGGTGGGTGGCTCAGTGGTAGAGTCTCTGCCTGTGGATCCAAGGGTCCCAGGTTCGAATCCCACCGTTGGCAGGAATTTTTTTATTGAATTAACGGCCAGTTTTTTCACCTCTGAGTAAAGTTGCAAGTAACTACTTGCTGATTAAACAATAGGGCTATTGTGTGCTAATCTGTCAAATAAACCTACATATAACTTTACTCAGAGGTGAAAAGATCGGCCCTTAATTATTTAAAATTAATTCTGATGCCTTGGTAGGATTCCCCACTCGACCATTCACTGTTGGGTTCTAATTAACAGTGCTGCTCATAAAGTGGCGCTGGGAAACAGTAACAAAGCCTACACAGAACACGAGGCGAAATAACCTTAGCAGTTGAAGCCGATGACACAAAAAAATACATACATACATACATACTCATAAGGGGTGGGTGGCTCAGTATTAGTCTCTGACTGTGGATCCAAGGGTCCCAGGTTCGAATCCCACCGTTAGCCGGGAATTTTTTATTTAATTATTCCCCACTCGACCATTCACTGTTGGGTTCTAATTAACAGTGCTGTTCCTAAAGTGGCGCTGGGAAACAGTAACAACTCCTACACAGAACACGAGGCTAATGAAAAAAAAAATACATACAAGACTGTAAATTTAAATTTAGTTGCTGAGGTTATTCACGTACTTTTTTCCTAAAACAATGATATATAAGATACCAATAAAAAATCCCAGGCCAGATATTTTGGTAAGAAATAGAGATATTTTAATTCTATAAAAGCCAGTTCACCGATTACCAAGAGAGCTTTAGTTTTATATATAAATTGATTTTAAATAGGTCAATATGTAGATGGCACTGCTCTCATTATGTTTTTTTTTTTTTTCGATGGGAGGATCTTTCTTGTACAGCGCATCTTGTAGTAAATGCATTTTTAAGCAGATTTTGTTCTATGAACTAATTCGATAAATCTAGCCATTTTTGATATACAGAGTGGGCCACTTAAAACAGTTTCTTCCTGTTTTTCAACATTAATCATTAGGTTTTAAGAAAATGCTAAAAAAGGTCGATTTTTATTCTAAATTGAACACATTTTTACAATACAGACATCTGCCATGTATCAACCCTCTCCCTTGTACTTCTTCATCACCTTACTTTTAAATAGTTAATGTACCATGTATGGCACATAATTGAAATGGTAATTTAATGGGGGATTCAGAAATGTCTGTACATTCCGTTACTTAAATTTTTCCGCCCTCTAGCGGAATAAAAAACCATTACGTATTATAAAGTGTGACACAACTGTGTAGTACATTATTGAAAAGGTAATTTTATGGGGAATTCAGATATATGACTGTTTTATTGCGACACTTTTAAATGTACCGCCCTCTATCGGGATATAAATCTACGTATTATAAAGTGTGAAACCTTATTTGAAAGAAAATTTAATTACTAATTTAATGCACCACATAACAATAATACAAATATCCTCCATATTGCACTTGCAATAGTTTAAAAATTAGTCATGCATTATTTTATTTATGCTGACTTAATTTTCTTGCAAGAACAATATGGACATATTTATATTAATTATATATGTAATTAGTAATTAAATTAGCTTTCAAATGAAGTATCACACTTTATAATACGTTAAAAGGTCTTTTATCCCGATAGAGGGCGCTAAAATTAAAAGTATCGCAATAAACAGTTATATTTCTGACTTCTCGACCTGTTTTAAAATTTTCTTAAATTCCAATGATTAATGCCGAAAAACAGGATGAAACTGGTTTAAGTGACCCACTTTGTCAAAAATGGCTAGATTTATCGAATTAGTCCATAAATCAAAATACGCTTAAAATGCATTTTTTACAAGATGCGCTATGTAAAAGAGATCCTCCTATTGAGAGCAACGCCATTTACATATTGACCTATTTAAAATTAATTTATATCTAAAATTGAAGCTCTCTTAGTGCTCTATGAACTGGCTTTTAGAAAATTAAAATATCCGGCCTGGGAATTTTTATTTATACACCCTGTATATGTATATGTATATGTATTATGAGATATTTACAAGTTATTCAAATTCAGAATTGAGATGAAAATATTAGTAAAATAGAAATATTTCAAAAGCTTGAGACAAATATTACAGTCATACTTACTTCTATAGCATCTTTAGGTCACTTTATTTATAGTAATGGTCCTCTACAATTTCCATTGATATTTGTGTTCTGTGCATTTTCCTAAAAACATCTCTAAGAAAACAAAAATAGGATTACATAGTAGCTTGTCTGCAATTTTATTACGAATAGCCCATATCTTGATTTCCTCTAAACTTTTATAATGATCAGTTACTTTATTACTAGCAATAAGTAATTCATTAGCATTAGATGTATTTGAACTAATATCATCCTTTACATAAAGAAATGTTGAAATAAACTCATTGTATTTTACTCGAGTTTTTTTCCTGGTGAAAAGAATGATGATATTTCCTAGGAAGATTCAGTAAGAAGCTTACATTTTACATTCCTCTGAAGCTAATGCTCTATAATTTTTTGAGAACAAAAGAGACTCGTCAATCAATTGATTTACACTTCTTATAAAATATTTATTCATATTTATAATTTTAAGTACCACACTGATACTACATAAGGACCATATATTATAATTAATCATACTTACCCCATAGGTGGGTATATCGTAAGACATACTCATTAAAAAAAACTCACAAATGTGAAAATGTTCCGTTGTGTATCATATATATTCTTCTTTTTTTTTAATAGTGGCTTTCACCGTTTACAGTATTTGGCCAGGGTATCATGGTTAAAAAATATTCCTTATCATTTTAACCTCTCGACGAGAGGTAAGATTATGAGTGGAGACAATAAGACACTATTAGGTAATTTTTACTACGAACTACCAATACATACTAGGTGCATACTTTTGACTGTTAGAATCATTCTTTTGTGCCTTTCTTGTCTACAGTATAAGAAAACTATAAATACTTATTTTATCTTTAAAGAGAAAGTTAAATATAACACAATATTTTACATAGATATCTATAAAATATGAAAAATAAATATGCTGAATAAGAAATATATTCTGTGAATATTTCATAAATATTGCAATATATTTTGGTAAATCGGCAGATTAGCGGCAGGGATATAGTGTGCTGTATGTGTATATATAGAGCATTAAAAATAAAGCAGGAAGAAGTTTATTTAAAACTAAGAAAGCTGGAGTACCACAAGGAAACATATTAGAACCTGTCCTGTATCTTTTATATATCAATGATATTCCAGAACTAGAAAATAATACATCAGCTACTTTTGCAGATGGCGCTATCATCTTGACAGATGGAGAAAATCATGCAGAATGCGCATAATAAAATTACTAATTATACAGAACGTTGGCGTTCAGGATTTCCTGTGTTTTTCCAATTCCTCCTTGCATAATGATATATTCCACAACCATCTCTTCCCCTTGTCTCCTATCAATTTAGTTATTTTTGCAGTTTTACCATCCTCGCCACATAATTTTTCTCTTTAATTTTATGTATGGCATTATCTATTTCTTCTTTTTGAATTTTTTTAAAATGATGTCCCCGTCTGTATTTGATGTTTCCTTAATCGGCATACTGACAAATTTGTTTCTATTTAAGTTTACTATTATTTATATTTCTTCTGTTTACAGATTGTTATTCTTATTTTTAATAGTTCTTATTTATTTTCTTCTGTTTCTTTGTAATCTTTTTGATTTTGCCAAAATTTTTTATTATCTGATTATTATGTTTTTCGATATATTTCTTTTTTAATATTCTACTCCTTTTTATGTTTTTGTCTGAAAATACTTTCTCCGTGCAGTTTTCTTTTCTTTTACTAATCATTTTGTTTCTTTGTTCCACCACTTTGTTGTTTTTAAAAGTTTGTTAAAATTAATTTTACATATCTCCTTTGCTTTTCTTAAAATTTCTTTGAAAACTTTCCATCGTTTTAAAAATGTTAATTCAAAGTTCTAATTTTCAATTCTTTGTCCGTGTGTTCTTGGTATTTTGCTATATTTTCAGTGTTTTTCAGTTTATTTATTGCAATTTTACTGTAGTATATTGCCTTTGTTTGCATTTTTTCTCTGCAACATTTTACTAGTATTAATCTATGGTATATACCTATTTTGGGAATTTTTTGATAGATTTGCTTTTAGTTATAGAGTTTTTTTAATATTTATAAAATTCTTTGTTTTTATAATGTCTTTAGTGCCTAACTATATTATTTTTCTTAGGTACGGTGGTCGGACCAACGTTTAACTGCCTTCTGAAACAACAGTTCCAGCTTCTTAAAGAAACCGACCGTTTCTGGTATGAAAACGACCTTCCTCCAAGTTCCTTAACGACCAGTCAACTCAAGGAAATTAAAAAAATTACCGTAGCAGGTCTTTTATGCGCCAATACCGACGATCTAGGTAGAATTCAGCCCAAAGGTTTTGTACAAGAAGATCCTTATTTGAACGCTAGAATATCCTGCGATCAACATCCACTTCCTCAACTGTCGGAATGGGTAGAGATGGACCCCATGTCGGACATATCAGCGGATTTATTGATGGACGCCTTAGAGAAGGCCGAAAGGGATGTGATGGAAAGGAGGAAGATGGAATATAAAGTATGGACTGAAGGTAAGCTTTCTTAATAATTTGATAAACTTAAATCGATGTGGAATATTTTGTACAAACAAATTTTCTTCCTTACTTTCTTCAAATTTCTGTTGTATTGAAGATTGACCCAACTAGAAAAATAATTTACTTACAAAAGTGAATAATTTTATAGTTATCCAATACATTGCCTGCTAATGAACAATGCCGCCGAACCGTGCGTGGGGAGCACATGTGGTTTCTCTCCCACAGTCGTCGCATGGACTTACACGGCTATCATAAGACCTATGCTAATATACGGTGCAGTTGTCTGGGTTCTGAAAACCCAAAAATTAACAGCTATCCGTAAACTTGAACAAATTTAAAAGAACAGCATGTCTAACATAACAGGAGCCATGAAAACATCACTGACCAGAGCCATGGAAGTCATTAAAGGAGGTTGCTCTAATGATAATGACACGCCTCCACATGGTTGGAATAGAACCTGATGTAGGATATGGTGAGGCGAGAGGTCGCTTTTGGCAGGAGGCGCTCGATACGCTCCCAGTGCTTTAAGCAATTATGGACTCCATCTCACCGGGATATATCTTCCATAAGCCATATAAAATTATAACAGAACAAGTAGAAGAGCTGAAAGTGGCAGGTACGATTCATACCTACACTGACGGTTCTAAAACAAAAATAGGCGCAGAATGTGGAATGTACTCCAGATTCTTAAACCTAAACATAAAATGGGCTGTAAGCAATAGTGCAAGTGTAGTTCAAACAGGGCTAACGGGAATTCTCAGAGCAGCAAAAGAAATCACTAGAAACAATAACACTGGAAGGAACATGCTCATCTATACAGATAGCAGACAAGCACTACTCACCCTGAAGAGACCACTAATTTACTTAAAGTTAATACTGGAATGTCACGAAGGTTTGGCCGAAGTATCTATCAACAATGTGCTCATCTTAAGATGGATCAAAGGTCACGCCACATCGAAAGGTAACCGTCTTGCTGATTCACTAGCCAAAAAAGCAGCCTACCAAATACTTTTTGGACTTGTCTCTTCTATTTGCCTGCCAAAATCGGTAATAACAGACCTAATTAAAGAATATTCCCTTGTAAAATTCAAGGAAAGATGGGATGCTCTTAAATTATCCTGACAACACTGCAACAAAGAAATACTTGACTATGACTAGACAGAATCTGCGCCTAGTCACAGGCATTCTGACTGGTCATTGCCAAGTACGGAAGATGAGACCATCGAGCATATGCTTTACGATTGCTTGACGCTCTTATTTATTTGTGTTTAGCGAGTATCGGCTAACACCGGCCGATATTAAAGAAGCACTACATCATATCAGTAGGATGGCTTACGAGCTAGGAGGTGCCAATCATCTTAGGAGGTTGCACAATGGACCTAGTTAGGCCTAAGTGCCATTGGGGTAACACGTTACAGATACAGATAGAGTTATCCAATATAGAAATTTAAGGTACAATTTTATTTCTTAGATAATTTTAATACAATAAATTTATCCCAAGAGAAGATCTTCGGGTATAAGATTATGTAAATATTCTTACGGCAAATATTTGCTAATAAAATTTAACTGAAAATTAACCATTCATAATTCAAATTAATTGAAACCCCCAATTACAATTTATTTATATTTTAGAACAACGTTTTATTGTAAACTTAGAAGATTCTACAACAGTTGTATAACGTTTTACATAACTTTATATTAAACTATTTTAAAAGAGCTGTGTAAAAATTCAGTTCTGGTTTTATGAGTATATTTATTACTAATTTCAGCACTTAAAACAGTTTTATAATAGTTTTATACCTTATTATATTATAAAATATTATCATAACAATAATTTAAATGTTTTTAAAATATATTGACAACGATAACTACAATATTTTTTAGCAGTAGATACTAAAATACGTACGCAAATTCGTTGTATAATCCTGGAGATACACTCATAAAAGAGTTTTATAATCATTACTTACAATTGTTATACCGGGTGTTCAAATTAAAGTGTTACAGCTAAATACCGCCTATTATAAAAAAACGTTTTAGACGAAAGTTTTATAGTTTTGTAGGAAAAAAATTTTGGCTAAAATCGTTTTTTAAAAAAAATGAATTTATCCAAAATGTTTCCCCCAAAAAACTATAAAACTTTTCTCTGAAACTTTTTTTCTAAAATGCATATTTTCGGCGGTATTTAACTGTAACACTTCAATTTGAACACCCGGTATATTAGTTGTATAATTGTCTTATATGACCCTTTTTGACATTATAAGTATTATATAAAAAAATTTAAATGCATTGTAGGATTTACATATTTCTATAAGATATGTTATGAAACAACCTTTATAGTACTTATTTGCTTGTTGGTTATATTCTGTCTCTAGTTAAAAAAATATAATTTTTTCATTCCGTAGATATGATTAATACATTCTATTCTATCAACCTGTTTGATGTTTATTTAAATTGCAATACCTATTTAAATATTTTTTTCAGTTGGAGGCCTTAACCCCAAATCACCCCAAGGAGTAGCAGCAGCGTTCAGTAAAGCCAACAAAAACGCCTTAAAACTAGCCAACACGTCGCTTTTATTCGAATTCGCATCCAATGAAATAGTCAACTCTCTTTTGCACAGAAGAAGGAAACGTCAACTGTTCGATAACAACGTCGTAGCGTCAATCTTCAGAGACGAACTCAGTGATGCCTTGCAGCAAGTAGATTTGGGAGCTTTGATACCGCCTCAGACTTTCGATGTTGATTTGCAGTGCGACGATAATGGACCTTGCGATCCTAATACGCCGTTCAGGACTTATACAGGGCATTGCAATAATCTGAGACATGTGAATTATGGTAAAAGTTTGACGGTGTTCAATAGATTGTTGCCCAGCGTGTATGATGATGGTGAGTTGGATTTAATACTATTTTTTTAATTAGCTAAATTAGTGATATTTAAATATTTCATCTTTATATAGTTTTGATGGGGTATTTGTGTGTATTAAAACCTTATGTGTAGATCTAAAGTTAAATAGTATTTAAAAATCTAGTTTTCAGTCAAAGTAAGATAAAAGTCTAAGTTAGGTCGTGTTAATCTTGAAAATTGATAAATTTCATACTTTCAATAAAAATAATTTAACACACATACAATTTAAAAAATCCCCTTTTATATCATCTCAGAGGTACTGTTTGAAGTTATTTTAACCCGTTCACTGCCAGAGGGCGCTGGCGCTTTAAAGCGCCCACGACTACCTGTTGGTAAATGCGTAGTAAGTAGGACTTCGGTACTTAGGTGACTTCAGGGTTAAACTGATCGGCAGTGAACGTGTTAACCTCTACTTCAAACAAATAAGAAAAATAAATTGTTAGACGACCCAAATTTAACCGTTACCTACGAAGTGGTTCACTTAGGATATAGAAATATTGCACATCTTTCGAAATCAGTCGATTTTAAATTTATAAGTAATCTTCTTTGGAATATCATGTCAAATCGCATAAAAGTACATTTTTACCCAGTTAGTATATCATTAAGATAAATAAAAAGAATGGATTTCTTCAACAAATGGAAAGTTGAAAGAATAAACGGTTAATATGCCAGTATTGTGACTTTACAGGAGAGCTGTTTGAAGTTCACTTAATACATTGCGTTTCTTATGACTCATCCAAAATGTTTAATACGCCATAAAACTAGCTGATTGAGATCAAACATACATAGATCGACGCAGAAAAATCACTAATTCCGATGGTATACATTACTAAATTTTGGCCAACGTGGCGTATTAGTTATTTCTCCTTTTAACCGTCGAAATAATAAAAAACCTGAATAACTTAGAAATTAAACAACAATATAAAACATACAAAAATATAGTAATTAATTCCATAAAACACTGTGAAAAATAACTATTGTAAAAACCTTATTAACACAAATATTGAAAACAATTCCTGTAACCCCCAACAACTGTGGAAAGTAATGAAACGAAACAAAATAGAGAAAAACATATATAAGTTCATTAAAAAACTCGAAAGGGGAAACAATAAATTCATTTAAAGAAATTGCAAATATCATTAATGAAACCTATATAAATGTTGGAAAAGAACTGGCCGAAAATATTAAACCAAATCCAACATTTCGAGCACTCCGTAATATTCTCTGGCTCTTTCGTTTTATTTCCAATCTTCAACGGACAAATTGAAAATATTATTAACGAGTTAAAGTTGAAACATTAAAAGATATATCTAAATTTATATTGACATCAGTAAATAATTTAATAAACTTGACTTTTACTACTGGTATATGGTCTAATCTATTTAAACAAACCATTGTTGTTCCAATACACAAAAGAGGAGATTACACAGTGGTAACAAATTACAGACCAATTTAAGTTAATAACACATTTATCAAAGATTTTTAAAAAAGCTCTTAAAAACAATTTCTTAAATTTTACATCAAAATATGATTTAATATCTGCTAACCAATATGGTTTTAAAAAACTTGTTTCTGCAGAAGATGCAGTTATAGCACTATGTACCAAAGTACTAACTGCTCTAGAAGAAAACAGTCCATGTCTCTGTGTATACCTAGACCTCTCGAAAGTATTTGAACTCAAATTATTTGAAAGCTATTTTACAAACCGACAACAAGTCACAAGAGTAGAAGGTGTCTATAGTGATCTAGATATCTACGGTATCCCAGAAGTTACGGTAATCAATCCTTTTTTATTTAATCTTTATATAAACGGATTAATTTTTATCGAGAGTTCAGGGGAAGTTTTTGGATATGGTTCGTACTAGTTATTGCCACTATTAAAATATGAATAAAATTAAAAATTATTTACTTTAGATTGACTCTTAAGATATTTAGCTACAGCTGAAACTTGAAATACGATAGACAGAAGACAATGGCAATATATGACAATTATTGCAGTTTAACACGTTAACTGCCGGATTGCACAACGTCTGTGCCATGAAAATTTATGCACTCAGGTTTCATGGGACAGCATATGAGCCATGAGAATGGTGATCGATTTAAGTTGAATGGCATAGTTATACGACCACAGAGCTCGTATGTTTAAATGGGATACGTTTGAGTATGGCGCTAGAGACCCGAAACCAAACCCCTGGATTTTATAATTTTTTATTGATAGAAATAAAAATATTGTATGTAATAAATACTGCTTATAAAAATACAACAAATACGACTTTTTTTTTGGAAATAACACAAAATATAGAACATAAAAAACATCAATATAATTATACGACATTATTTTAAAGTGGTTTTATGTTTTATAAAAAAAACAAGACACACAAAATGTTTCTTCGCAAACACTACATGCATAATTGGATCTTGGTGTTTTCGACTGAGCAGCTTTAGCACCTAATGCGCTAGTTCAGTGATGATGTAATTATGGTTCCACTGACAATTAAAGTGACAGTAGATTTTTTGAGTGCGTTTTGTTCGTTTTGTTTACCTAAATTATATCGTTTTTTTCAGTTTTACAAATATATTCCAAAAGTAAGTAGATAGCATGTATCAAATATACAATCGTTTAGTTACCAATTACATACCTTTAAACTATTTTTTATGACCTGTAAACAATATTTTGAAATAAAATAAAAACAGTAAAATCGTATATGTCAAATTTATTGATGTTTTTGTTAAAAGTTTGGTTAGAATTAAACGTCAGTGGAACCAAAATGACATCACACTGAACTAGCGCATTCAGCTGCTACCTGTTCATAGCAGACAACACACCTACGACGCATATGTATATCTTCCAATTCATGATTCCCCTGGTTATCCCGTTCTAGAGGCGTTTCCACACGAAGGTCAGATTTACGCCCTAGCATAGACATTGCAATACTTTCCTTGAATTCCGTAATTGGAATTTTCGTTTGAGTTACTTCTGTGTAGACATGATGAGCATTTACTGAGCATGACACTCCTGATATGGAGATAAAACGAAATGTTTTTGTTTCGAATTATTATTTTTGAACTCTCTGTGGTTATCCTTCAACGCAAAATTGATAACGTAAAAAAGCAAACAAAAAATTTATTAGGAATATTTTTTGAAAAAATATAAATAAACATAGATATATTCCAAAGTATGTGGGAAAAATATTACTATAAAAATCATGATGCTATATAAAAACGTTACGGCTCGCGCTAGACCATAAAAAATATGTACCTGCAAACGTAGATGCTATCGGATTTGCCAAAGAATTTGATGGATTAGTGGTTACTGACAAAACTAATGTTTTGACGTTTTTTTGCGGGTCTCGATCTATAGTACTCCTCTGAAGAATCAATGCTCTCTGAAACCGGCTCATAGTCGGAGGAGCTCCGTTCAAATGGATCGGGCTCCTCCTCAGACATAATTTCATCCCATAACTTTTGTAAATGCTTTTGATTTTTCATAATCTCCCATTATTCTCTCTTACAAATATTTGGTAGGTAATACATTTTTGCCTTTTGGTTTTATGACACGAATGTCGTGCCATAAATTTAAACGTCAAAAAAATGCAAAAAATATTTATAAAGGATTTTAAAGATATGTAACACTATACATATTTTAAGCATAATAATGTATAAATAAGAAAATGGACTGAGGGACCCTTTTTTTAGATGGTGGCAGTTAACGTGTTAAGTAAACAAATTTAAAACTTACTGGAATTGTACCTGGGCAATGGGCATTAATAAACAAATAATTTTTTTAGTTTGTTCTATTATTTATTTGTTACAGGGTTTAAACCATTTACAAAATACATTATGTTACTTATATGTATACAAAAAAATATTAATATTATTAATGTAACAAGCACATATTTGTTTTACCTTACAGCTCTCACTTCTCACTTTAAATTATAAACAACTATTTTATTTAAAAGGATATTGAGTAGTAAACGGTGGTGCACAAATGATACTAATTCACAGTACCTATCTGTTCAAAATCTTTACCACTAGCTTTAATGCAAGCATTAATCGTTCTTTTTTGAAAACATTATGCAGTTTCTCCTCAGTTATATTTTGTATATCATTTAATATAGGTGCTCCAGTTCATAAATGTCACAAACGATTTTGAATTGAGTGATCTGTAATATTCCATACGTAGGTTTAACAAACTTAAGGTAAAATGATTGTTGTAGTACCGAAACTTTATAGGGGATGCATTATCAGAAATGTTTTCAATACTTTATGGCTAGTAAGTAGCGACAAACCTAAAAAAAATGTTTTGAATTTCACTCGTCAGAGTCAGTCTTTGAAACACCGTTCATACCTGTTTGAGGTGCTGTTTTTTATTACTAATTTATTGGGAATTTGCACCATGTTAATTTGCACATCTTCAACAGCTTTTGTTATTACTTTGGGCCTTTTAGAGCTTTTTCCTTTTTTATAATTTTGAACAAGTATTAGTTTATGACGACAAAACATAATCACATTCCACTTATTCACCTGGAAAACGTTCCTCAAATGTTCGAATATAAAATAATTTTGTTCCAGTAATAACATTAACTAAAATAATTTATGTACATTCATTAACTTTTACGAGTTACAGTAAATAAATTTGTGCTTACCAAAAAAAAAAAAGAATTAAACCACCAATAATCTCTAAAAATAACTAATTGCTTTATTAATATTAAATGAAAAATGGACTAAGACTGTTTATAAAATGTAAACAAATATAATATAAATATTGTCAATCCCCAAATGAACGTCAGTGACATTTCTGACAGGATTGACAGTTTAGTTTAGTTCCTTTTACGTCAAAACAGGTCCTTTCGATGGGTTTTTGATGGTTATCAGATCACGTGGGTTTCGGGTATTGTTGAAGACCCTGTATATTATACAAATATTTATGATAGCTATTAGCACACGTGTACGAGAATTAAAATACAAGAATTTTCTCATCTTGATTTTCCTTTTCCATTACTCATTCACAAAATTCCATCCTGCGAATCTGATCTCTGGGAAATAATTCATGAGTTTTACTGTATTTAAACCACTTAAACCCATACTATTTTGAAGTTTTAGCCACAATTATGTATGCAATCTCCAATTCCTGAACAATGGATGTGGTGATTTTAAAAAGTATCTTTCTATTTCTTTAAAATTATGTTTAGTTATATAATCCTGTAAATCATTATTTTCTATGTCCTCTATGTAAACTCTGTACCTATAACTTAACGGCGATAAATGGCCCGGCGATGAACTGGCTCGATTATGAAATTATTACTTTTTCTGCAGTAGTAGAAAAATAGTCATTAAAACAATTTGGCGTGATAGAAAATGGTTTTTTAGTACCAGCATTTTCATTCCTGTGAAAATTGCTATTTCAGCTATATATAGACACATTGTTAGTATAGAAGAAATATCTCTCATAAGCCAATTTTTTTTTATTAAAAATATTTTATTTATAATGTTCTATAAATTCGTTACAGACTTTAAAATCCCTTGTAACATCAGCTATTAATGTTTTAAAGCGGGTTTTCCCTTCAATTGGGACGGAACACTAAAAATTAATCTGTTACTATAATTAATTTATAAAATTTGTAGGTATATCCAAACCCAGATCGATCGGAGTGACAGGAGTTCCACTACCAAATCCACGAGTAGTCTCCAGAGTAATCCATCCGGATATTAGCAACCTTCACGGCAGGTACACATTAATGACGATGCAGTTCGCTCAATTTTTGGACCACGATCTCACCATGACCCCCATTCACAAAGGTTTCCACGAATCGATTCCAGATTGCAGATCGTGCGACAGCAAACGCACCGTCCATCCCGAATGCAATCCTTTTCCCATTCCATCGGGTGATAATTACTATCCAGAGATCAACATCACTTCCGGTGAAAGAATGTGCATACCGTCAATGAGATCGTTGCCCGGTCAGCAAAAATTGGGACCCAGAGAACAGGTCAATCAGAATACCGCGTTTTTGGATGCTTCGCAGGTGTACGGGGAGAATCATTGCGTTTTGAGGGATTTAAAAGGTCAGTTTGGGAAAATGAATGCCACTACGCATCCTGTAAAGGGGAAAGAGTTGCTTCCGCAAAGTGATAAGCATCCTGAATGTAAATCTCCGTCAGGACAGTGTTTCATAGCTGGTGAGTAAGAATCTTTAAATAAATATCAAATATCAATGTTGTAATTTTTATTTATTTAAACAATTTACTATTTATTTACGCTAAGACACTAATTTATTTTAAGACTAAATTAATTTGTACTAAAAACAACACTAATTTATATATTTTACTATTACACTAATTGATATTCTCAATATTCTGTGTTTGAAAATGGAGTAAGGAAGAAAGAATCTTTATTTGATGTGATTCCTTCGATGTTACTAATAAACTTTGTTATTATTTTGTCGAACAAATGACCAGGAGCATATTTAAAAAACTATTAAACTCTGCAGCTACCTCCCGTGGATAATCCAACAACATTTCGTCCTTTTTTATGACAATATTTTAAACAGAACTTTGCATATTCGTAATTTCTGATACAACATTCCAACAAGCCTTAATAGTATTGTCACTTAGAATACGTTTTTGATAGTGTTCTTTTTTCTGTGATTGTAATAAAAAGGAATAACCACTACAAAAGTTACTAAGAACCCATATCTTGATACCTCTTTTGACGGGTTTCATGGGAAGATACTGTTTGAGTGCAGATCTTACTTTGAATTTTGCTATCGACTTGTCTTTACTTTGAAACGTTGCTTCAGTTTGAAACTTTGGAAAAGTGGTCTTCAGACAATTAATAATCTCTTCAATGAAGTACAATTTTTCAGCATTTGTAGGTTTCACGGGGTCATTGAAATACATCTTGGACAACAGTTTACAACGATCTCTTGAAATAGCTCTCTTGATTGCAGCATTTCGAAGCGATTCATTTTGAGATCAATAGTCGTTAAATGTAAAAACTCGGTTGTAAGTCATTATAAGTATGACTTACAACCGAGTTTTTACATCTCATAATAATCGGTTAAAATTCTTTTCTCCTTGGAATCTTCCTCAAACTGTTCTAAACGTAAATTTGTACAATGTGCAATATGCATTGGAATGTTTTTTGGAAAAACTTTTAGGAATATTTCTACTTCATCAATATTACAACTTACTTGTTGTTCTTGAGAAAGCTGAAGGCGAGGAACGAATCTTTCATCATTGATAACCCATAGATTTTCTGCTTACTCCTGTCCCTCGTTAGCACCTTGTTCTAGTTCGTCTATACCATGCTTCTCAACCTCTTGTTCTTTTTCGTCTCTACCCATTTCATATCCATCTGAACTTGACCCTTCGGCTCCATCAGAGGCTGTTTTTAATTCATTTTCTTTAATCTCGATGTCTAAAGGTTCATAATAGGAGTCTGCTGAATTACTGGTATAAAAAGGATCAATTTTCAATTCGCCGTCACTGTCAAACAATGTTTGTGCTTCCTCCTTTATTTCTAGTTCTCTCTTAAAGCGATTTTCGACTCGTCTGGAATAAAAAGGGCTTTTGGGACGAATTTAACCTGAAGTTAAAGACTGTTGGGACATATGTGACCCGATAAAATATTCACTATGATTTTATCTATATCCTCATGACAATATATTTAGAAATATGTTATTACCTTTACTATTACGTATTTTTGCCAAATAAATGCACAATTGCAAAAAATATTTAGATAAACAACCAGCAACTAACAATAAATCACAGTAACCACATCGAACAAACGGTAAAAATTGAATAAATGACTGCTGACAAGCTTATACTGCATTGCCACTTCCAAGTGTCTTAGTAAGGCTGAATTTAAAATATTCTGTACAAAATGGGTTTGATTTTAATCAGCAGACAGTTTAGACATTTGTTTGGGACATATTTAGTTGCCAAAGGGTTGAGGGCATTCTATTTTTACAACTGTAGTTTGAATCTGTTTCGTTTTATAACCCGTTCTATTCTTAAAATTTGAAATAATTATTTGAATCGTGTTTTTAGGTGATGGCAGAGCTTCCGAACAACCAGCTTTAACAGCCATACACACGATCTTCATGCGGGAGCACAACCGTCTATCCGACATAATCAAACAAGTGAATCCTCATTGGGATGAGGACAAAGTCTTCGAACATGCCAGAAGAATAATAATAGCCGAAAATCAACACATCACTTACAACGAATTTTTGCCGAGAATCTTAGGATGGAACGCCATGAATCTGTACGGATTAAAATTACTCAATCACGGATATTATAAAGAGTACAATCCCAGCTGTAATCCTTCGATAGTTACTGAGTTTGCCGCTGCTGCTTTTAGAATTGGACATTCTTTGTTGAGACCGCACATACCTAGGTAAGAAAAAATAATGTGTGAATTTATAATGACAATTATATTTCCAAGGGAGATAACAAATTCAAAGCAAGTTGGCATTTAGTATGACAAATTAAAACATAAAAACTGAATTGAAAGCTTAACAATTTACAAACATAGCGAAGAATATTATAAAGTCTTAACTGGTTTTGTAAATTAATGATTTATTAATGTTTTTAATATTTCCATTCTCTGCTCATCATTTTTTCTTTCTCCAGTTACAAAAGAAGAGGTTTTTAATGTCAGAATTCTTAAGAATTAGTGAAATTATATTATACCCTCTCACAAATTTAATTCAATAACATATTTCTCACTGGTAATTTCCCAGATATGTTTAAATTTGCAAGTCATTCTTCTACACAAAAAAGGCCAAGAATCAGTCATTGATAACTATCGTCCGATTTTGATTCTGTGAACATTTTCTAAAATTGTTGAAAAACTTATTAAATACAGACTTTCTCATTATTTCGAATTAAATAATTTTATTTTTGCCATTAATCTTTAGAAGAAATATTTATCCTTTTGTGTTAGTTTTCAAGGTAAAACTTTCTTGAGAAAAATATGTTTTCTTTGGAAATTATGTGTCTAAATTTCACGAAACAAAATCCTCCCTAAAATAGTCCAGCATTAGTCCAGCGGTATTCGCTAACAAAAACTTAAAATACACAAAAATATATATTTTACCCACACTATTATTCGAAGCATGTATCATCATAACCCAAGAATATTCGTCGTTATTTAGAAAGCAAATTTTTTCCTTAGGATCAGTTTAACTTTCTTTGTAGTATCGGTAAACCTTTAAAATTCTAACGGTGTAAAAGAACAGTACACTATTTATTTTACATACAAAGTGTTTATTTGAAAACATCCCACCCTTATTTTCTTCCTTTCAGTAAATAATATGAAAAATTGAAAGAGGCGTTTATTTAATTTTTAAAGAAAACACTTTCAATGAATCTTTCTAGCCCTCGTGATTCAACCCCCTAGAAGGGTTAGATTTTACTCTTAAAATTTTAAATGGGAAAGGAGGGGGATCACGTGGTTCATCACGTTGATTTTAGAGTCCTTTAGCGGGGTAAAAAACTGTTACGTGTTATAAAGAGTGATACTTCATTTGAAAGCTAATTTTATTCGTAATTTAATGCGTGGTATACATTTTTTATTTTAGTTGATTGTGATTAAACTTTGTATTTCTTAATGTTGAAGATCTGCAGAATTTTTCTATTAAGTTCATATTTCATTAAATTAGATTTTATTATATATTATATTATTAGTAATAAAATTAACTTTCAATGAAGTGTCACACTTTACAATATTTTATCCCGCTAGAGGGTGCTAAAATCAGAAAATAAAATTAGCGTCTAGGTTCGATCTTTCTTATTATTTATTAGAAGAAAGATATTAAGAGTGGGAAGTTTTCAAACGAACACCATGTATAATGAGAATCTTAATATACCCCAATGTGTTATGTTTTGTTTTCAGTTGGGTACAAATTTAGCCAATTGCCTTCTGTCAATTTAGTCCAGTTTGCTTCGGGATTTCCGCTACTGCATTATTCCAGGTTTTTTTTTTGGTGTTTCCCTTAGTCGTTTTCCACATGTTCTTGTTTGCCGTATAGTTTTTGTTTGTTGTTTATTTTGCATACATATTGTGACCAAACAAAAAAAATCCATTTTAGAATACAAATTAAAAAGTAGGATATTTTACCTGTACTGTTCGAAAAATGTATCATCATAGTCCAGGAATATCGCTTGTTTTATTAGAAAGCGAAATGGTTCCTTTTTAAAATAAAAAAATTATTTTATCTGTACTATTATTCGAAAAATATAGATCATAGCCCAGGAATATTTATAGTTTTTTTACAATTCAAAATTTTTCACTTTTTTAGGATGAGTCCGACTTACCAAATCATAAATCCTCCGATTCTTCTTCGAGACGGCTTTTTTAAAGTCGACATTATGATGCGCGAAGGAATGGTAGACGAAATCACTAGAGGTTTAGTATCGACGCCGATGGAAACATTGGATCAGTTCATTACAGGAGAAGTCACCAATCACTTATTCGAAGACAGAAAAATCCCATTTTCTGGTGTTGATTTAATAAGTTTGAACCTCCAAAGAGCCAGAGATCACGGAATACCTTCTTACAACAATTATAGAGCGTTGTGTAACTTAAAAAGAGCGACGAGTTTTGAGGATTTGGCAAGGGAGATTCCTCCAGAGATTATCTCTAGATTGAAGAGGATTTACGCCACTGTTGACGATATAGATTTGTTCCCTGGTGGTATGAGCGAGAGACCTTTACAAGGAGGGTTAATCGGACCCACTTTTGGTTGTATTATTGCTTTGCAGTTCAGACAGTTGAGGAAGTGTGATCGATTTTGGTAAGAGACAGTTAATGACATGTAATATAGTATAAAAAAATTCTACCTTTAAATGTTTTTGCATAAAACGAAAATACCGGTGTTATAAAGGCGTTTAAAAAGATTTAATTTAGAAACTTCTTATCAAATCAATCTAGTAAGAGGGGAGAATTTTGATTGACGTTGCAGGACTTATTTCCATATCAGTATATACATCATCATCTCAAAGTTACTTATTTTAGATGGATCGTCAAATTCTTTTTTGTGCAATAAAAACTTGGGAGTCACCCCAAAAATACGATCCATATCTGAGTATCAAATCAACGTAAAGACTCAAGCGGGGTTATCAGGGTTCTACTTAGATTTTTTTGGAAATTCGAGACTTAAGGGGTTGCAACCCATAAAATATTTAATAACTTTAGAATAACAACAATTTGACCTATATTATTTTATTGGTAAAATATAATTTGCTATTAATGTTAATAAACAAAATTTAATAATTGGAAAGAATATCAGATATATTAAACCTAAATAATTTTGACAAACAATATAAACATACTACAAGTCATTGACAATAATTAATTGATATAAATTTTTATTTATCAGTAAAATGATGCTTATGCAACTAACAATACAAGAAAGTAATATTGGTTGCTTTTAGATGTCAGTATAGTTTTACTAAAACCTAATTTTATAAATAAATTAGTCAAAATTAAATTAAATATTGTATGTAATACGTTACGAAATGTCGTTTTATGTAACTTGTTCATGTTGCGGGACCTCGCTCTGCTCGTTCCGCAAATATTCACTCATTTCATAAAATAAGGCATTTCGACGGGTTGCATAAATAGCTATTTCATATGTTCAATATTATGCCATTGCTGGGATTACAAAAAATGTCACCTCATGTGTCAAAATTTGAAAAATAATCAATTTTATAATTTCACCTTTAACAGCCTATATTTGTCTTAGATTCATTCCATAAGGCAGTGAGTTTTTAATCCTTTTTAAGGCAAAAGACAAATTTATTTCCAGGTCAATGAAATTTTCATAAAAATTTTTTGGTGTACCTACTTTGGCTAGTGTATATCACAAAAATTCAAAATTTTGATCAAAAGGCTTCTTTTTGGCCGTGAAATTATTCTTTCAAAAAACCTTGTTTAGTATTATACGTGCTCCTTTTGGGATTAAAATGGACTGTAATTTATTTATTTTACGACTTTGCTAGCCTAATTTAATTTTAACGATGAGATAGATAAAAAATACAATGAGCAATGATGATTGTAATTCATAAGGGCAATCCATCTTGCTAGAAAACTACCTGGTCCCGACACAAGTCTTGTAAAGGATTTTGACAAGTAATATAAAAAAAACAACTTTTCATTTTTTACAAATACTTTTACAAAAATTAACAAAAAAATGTTCAACCAGAATATCGAATAACTGACCTGAATATTTTTGTTTTTATATTAAATATAAATACTACTAATTTAAGGCGATAGTGCTTATCTAAGTCATTTGTCGAATTTCAAAAACCTTACAATAATACAATAATTTTAAAATTGCACAACATATAAATGCTTAAAAAAAAACAACGCGAGAACGCTTACTGGGATTTATATTTCCCTTTTTGGAAGGCAATCAACGCTCACCGATCATCTGCGCACCAGAGTAGGATTAGGTTATCTCATTGCCTTCCACTGCGATTCAGATGGTCTATTGTGGCTCATGACTAACTTATAGTTCACCGTACTAGTCACACCTTTTGATGAAGGTCATGTTTAAATTGGGTGAAACTTCTCTAAAGTCGATAGGCTCCAGTCGGGTAAATCCGAAGATCTGGAACCTGGTTCCTTCCAGTGCGGAGCAGATAAAATGTGCTCTGCAGACTCGTCCTCCACGCTGCAGAATCGACAGTCCGATGTTTGTTGCAGACCTATCCTTCTCATGTGGTTGCCTAGACGACAGTGTCTTGTCATCGGTCCCGTGAAAATGCGTAGATCTTTCCTACTCCATTCTCGGATCTGAGCAGAGGCGTTCATAGAAGGGTTGGTTATAAACGCCTTCGAATGAGTTAGCCCTGGGGTATCTCTCCAGTTCGTGAGTGTTGCACGCTCCGTCCATTTTGAGATAATTTCTTTGGCAGTGCTCTTTGCAATGCCCAGGAACGGTTTTGGTCCTATAAACACAGATTCGGTTCCTCTTTTAGCAAGCGCGTCGGCTTTTACATTGCCCTCCACACCACTGTGTCCCGAAACCCAGATCAAAATAACTTTGTTCCGGGCACAGAGACATTCAAGGATATTTATACAGTTCCAAACCAGCTTTGAGTCAACTCGATTAAGTTCCAAACCAGCTTTGAATCAACTCGATTGGAGCTCAGGGTCTTGAGGGTTGCCTGGCTATCTGAAAAGATCTTTGGAGTCTTGTTTGCGGGGAGAAAATTATTCAATTCTCTCGTTCCCAATTCTATAGCAATAATTTCTGCTTAGAAAATCGTGGCCAGAAAGCCTAGGTTTACTGACATGTCAACTCTAGGCCTCTGGCCGAAAACTTCAGCTCCTACTACTTTTTCAGTTTTGGAGCCGTTCGGATCCAACGGATAGTCTGCCTGGGAGAGGGTTTTTCCCCTTTGCTCCATGCATCTCTCTCTGGAATAAGGTCCAGCATGGTCTCCATGGCTCCCGTAGATGTGGTTGACATTGCTTCAGTGATGGCAAGACACGCAAGCAGCTGTATTCCAGCCAGCTTTGCTCTGGCCGTCCATTGGAGTCCCTTGTTCCGCCAGACGACTGAACCGTGCGTAACCATGGGTTTTACCACTGTTTGGTAAATCCAGTAGATCAGTTGAGGACTGATCCTCCATGATTTGCCAAATATCCTTCTAAGGGCCCAGAGGGATAGTCTGGCTTTGTTAATGGTTTTATCCAATTGGGAGTTCCAGGTGAGTTTCTTATCTAGGGCGATTCCCAAATATTTCACCTGCTTTGCAAAAGAAATGGTTTCCCTAGCCAAGGTAGGTTGTCGAAGCTTGTCGAGCTTTCTTCTCTTGGTGAAGGAGACGATAACAGTTTTGCGGAGGTTAACAGATATATGCTTTCTCTCGCACCATCTGTTGATCGTATTAAGGGCTTGTTGAAGGATGTTGGAGATCACCTATTCGAACTTTCGCCTAATTGTGATAACCAGATCGTCCGCATAAAATTGTAAATCAACCCTCTGCTGGGAGAGATCATCTAGCAGGTTATCCACGAGAATTGTCCACAGTAGGGGTGAAAGTACGTTGCCTTGTAGACATCCTTTGGCTGGCCTGAAAGTGATGCAGTGATGAAGTGATGTTTCGGTTTGCCAGAATGCTTTTGATTCAATTACAAGTTAGTTGTCGATTCCTCTTCTTTCAATAGAAGCGAACAAAGACTGAGGAAGGGCGTTGTTGAACGCGCATCAGGGTAACATGGTATCCTATAATATAAAAGGTTGAAGTGCTTCTTCGGTGTAAATTTTTACTAAACGTTATTCATCTTTCTGCTATACTTTTTAATATTTAAGTGCTATGACGCTTAATTTTAATTGATCCCCTTAGACCGTAATGTTTCCCACTGAAGGTTTGTGCATCATCTGATTAATTGCTATTTTCATTAAGAATTTTCCTTCACTATATTATGCGATAATAATTTCGCGTAATTTTTGTGTTATAGGGACACAAAATTACTAGGTTTTAAGTTTAACCAAATTCTATTTTTAAATTCAACCTGCCCTTATTTGATATAAACTTTCAATAATAACGTGATTTTAAAACTAAAAAAGATTTATTTTTCTTTTTCTATTCGCAACATAATGAATTTTTCAAAACCAGTTTTAAAATGTTCAATATACAACTGGTTGAGTAAAGCAGACTGACGTCATTATGACATGTTATTTTCGTCATACAGGACGTCATTTATCCTCTGAAAACTAACGTGACAATGACGGTAAAATGACGTGAATATGTCACAGTCCAAATGACGTCATATTTAGACGTCATTTTCATGTCTAAATATGACGTCTTTATGACGTTTCCTAGTAGTCTTTATAACGTCCCTATGACGTTTTTATAACGTTGTTTTAATGTCACCTTTGTCGTTATTTGAGACGCCACCATAACGTTATATTTGATATTATTACTCCTTTGTATTTTTTTCTATAGAAACTGTGTGTCACTTAATAAAACAAAATTAGAAAATGTAATAATTATAATTAAAAAAAAAAACAGTTTAAATACATGTCAAATAATTAAAATTCCTTTATATAGGTACGAGAATGAAGATCCCGTGGTTAGGTTCACCGAAGCTCAATTAGCCGAACTCAGAAAAGTAACTTTAGCCAAAGTTTTGTGTGAAAATATGGACATAGAAGGTGAAATGCAACGAGCCGCATTCGATTTACCTTCGAACTTCTTGAATCCGAGAGTACCGTGCCATTCGTTACCCGCCATCAATTTGAACGCTTGGAAGGAGACGACTAGAGGACAGGGTTGTATAATTGGTGATAAACAAGTCGCCGTTGGTCAGTCAGCGTTTCCGAGTCCTTGTACTAGTTGCATTTGCACTGCAGAAGGAGTAAGTATATAATAGTTTACTATGTCTTACTAATAGCAAAGTAATATAAACAAAATATGTACCATGTAATCAGGCCAAAAGTTTCCTGGATTGGTTGCGATAGGGAGCAGTCTGAATTGGGACCATATATACATATGTAATATTATGTAGAATAATAATTATTAATAAAACACTTTGTAGTTTTATATTTTATTATGAACGATGTTACAACTTGTTAAGCATACCGTTGCCTTCATCCAGCGTCTGACGTCCACGTCATTGACAGCTGACAACGTCCGATGTCAAGGTGCGTTCCATAATCAAGAGTGGGATCCAAAACCACACCTCAACAATATAGTTTGTTGAAAAACCGAATCTATTATCATAAATTATTATTACTTTTCAACCCTAGTAAAATGTATGTGTATTATTAATAATATACCTTAACAAGAGGGAATATAGTCAAAAGTTGGGTCAAGATTAACATTAAAAATTAATTAACACATTTTTTTTTGTTTTTAGGGCAACTGCGCTTCTCTGAGAGTGACCGATTGCAGACAACTCATGCGAGAGTGGTCCAAAGAAGCCATTTTGAGGGACGAAGTGTGCACAGCTCAATGCGGTTTCCTGCTCAGAGAATCTGGAACAAGTTCCATACTACCTCAAAATTTGAATCCTCCGCCGTTGAGGAACGTCAGAGCTCAAAGACCCCAATTGTTCCGCAGCACCGATTTCGACGGTTTCGGCGACTTTAAATTTCCAGATCTCACCCCATTCATAGCGAAATGAGCCGATCGTTCACTTTTGAAGGACTAAAGTATATATTATTTATAATTGATGATATCAGTTGCGTTTGAAGGTTGGGGTGTTTTTAGTAATCTCAATATTGTAAAAACTTGTAAAATACTTGTATAAGTACAGGGTGAGGCATACGGACTGTCGTTAGCAAGATCTTTTGACTCAAGCGGAAAATTTACATTACAAACTGAAAGACCTGCGTGGCAACGGTAATTTGCCAGGTATAATTTAAGGGTGGAGCCTAAATACTACAACAATTACTTTCGAGACTATACAAAATCAATATTCATTCATAATTTTAACAATTGCATGTAGATACAAAGGATACATATTCTAAACTCTAACGCGCGAAGTTGATACAATGGAATCAAAAAATTTTCCACAATAGCACAAAATAATATGTATTTTACAATAATTGTCTGAGAGTTGAAAAGCGTCCAGAGAGTTTAGCAATGCTTCGCTCCTGTACCACAGATGCCAAAGTAATAAATACAGTAGGCCAATGTAAACGGACCATAATTGGTCTCGAGATATTTTACATTTTTAAATCAACTAGGTTTCCTTTTTTTTTTCTAAATTTTTCTAAATTTTGAAGCAGTGACTCGTTTCCGTTCTTTATTGTGCTACAATGCATGTCTCAATCGTTTTTTACTCATCTATAGACATTGGCAAACTTTTTAGAAAATCTTCTGCAATTCGCATCAAAGAATGCGACAGATCAAAGCTACGGGTAAAAGCAAGAAAAATTATTTACTTAAGTCGAAAAAATATACATTACTTTAACAGATTAAAGAGTTGTAACATGCTGGAATTAGATATTGTTAACTCGAAGAGAAGTTAAACAAAAACATTTTTATAAATCATATCTCGCTGTATGCCTTTTAAATTCGGATATATTTTTTAATAAATAAATAAAAGAGCTTTTAAGTTTTATTTTCCATTTTTATTGTAAAAAAAATTAATGCTCTTTCGGGTAAAAACTAAATATATTGTTCCCTTCTAACACTTTTTAACATTTTTATTTCTTTTCGTTAGAAAGACATCTTTTTAGATTTATTTCAAAGAAACTGATTCAAATTATCAAAAAGTGACTACAGAGGAGTACAGGTTCAGCTTTAATCTGTTTTTTCATAATTTTTTTTTGTAATAAAAATAAAAAATATTCTGTAAAATTGGTGTACTATAAAACACCTGCATATTATACAGGGTGTTCCTTAAAGACATGCTAATATTTAAGGGGGTGATTCTTGGGCCCATTTTAAGGAAAAAAATTTCACATGGACGTATGTCCTAAACCTCCTAACTTTTGAGATAGAGACCGGTAAAATTTCAAAAAAAAAAAGATTTTTTATAATAACTGTGTTTATGAAATTTAGCACACATCTTCTATGAATCAAGAATTATTTTCTGATGTAAGCGAAAACCATGCGTTGGGCGAAAGATAATCAAGAGAACAAATTTCCTTAGAAATGAATCGGTATTCCAAACATAATTTTGATTTCAAGAATAGGCAGGTGAGTACCATTTTTTTCTCCAAAACTATTCAATGCAAAACCCGTACGGACGCCACTGCTAAAAATAATATAATTGTTCTTACATCAGAAAATGCATCTTGATTCATAGAAAACGTGTACTAAATTTCATAAAGATATTTACAATAGTATCACAATTATTATAAAAAAAGTATTTTTTTTTAAATTATACAGCCCTGTATCTCAAAAGGTAAGAGGTTTAGGACATATGTCCATATGAAGTTTTTTCCTTAAAATGAACCCAAAAATCTCCTCCTTAAATATTAAAAAAAAATTGAGAAAGTGGTTAAAAAGTGTCGAGTTTTTTTTTTTTTTTTAGAAAAAACAGAATCAAATTTTGAAACCGTGTCTCCAGAGGAGTACATATTTAATGTCTGCCCCAACGTACATATTTTTTTCTTTCAGAAAAAGTCAAAAATAAACTTTAAAAATGGGGTACTACAGAACCCTGGCATGCTCCTCTCTAAAAGGAATTAAAATGAGGGGTCAAAAGTAGGTAAAAAATTTATAGACGTTGCCAAGTTGCTAATTAAACTAAAAATTAATAAAAAAATAAATTATCAAAAACCCGTATATATATTTTACTTACGGTAATATATAAACGCATATAAAATAAAAATAAATTAAAGTCTTATCTAAACTTTGAACAATCTACCCAGTTTCCCTTACGTAATAATTACACCTCAAATGAAAATATATTAAAAACAACTTAACCAAATTACAAAATCTGTATGACCCAGAACTATCAATAAAGCCTGAAAAATTTGGTATTCTTATGATAAAAATTAAAAAACGTGAATTAAATCGGTCATAAGGCCAGGAACCATAGCTGGATGCTTCGTAAATGTTGTTCATAGAATCTTATTTTTGCATAAAATAGGTCCTAAGCTAATTTAAAAAAATAAATAAATATTGGCAAAAATGTTTATTTGGTGCCAGAAAAGGATCATCATTTCCAAATTAACTACCCTTAGCCTCCAACAATTATTTTGTGCAGTTATTTCTTCTAATCAATAATTCATTATTTTTTATCGAATATTAATAATTTTTCTAGTCTTAGGGGTCTTTTACACACATTTTTTGTATAAAATTTAATAAACATTTTGATACGCAGTTTTCCTGTACTATTACCCTCAATTATCAGTAATAGTACAAGAAAAGTTATCAAAATATTGTTCAATCATAAGTATTGAATCGTAAAATCTCTCTAACAGACAGCCGATGCCCCGCACCCTGTATATACTCAAATTAGCTACTACGAACACCCTGTACTATTGGACTGAGTGGAATAACGTCGATATCGGAGGATATTTTTGTGCCAGCATTTTTAATGATGAACTTACTACGGATGTGGTTCTATGTTTTATTATATATATATTTCTTGTATAAATTTATTTGTATATATTTACGAAGCTGTAAATGTGATTAATATTAATAATTCTCTCATAACGATTTATATATGTATATATATATATATACAAGGTGAAAAAATTATAATTCATTTAATTTTCCAAAATATGAAATATTCCTAGACTATATATTTTATCTATAATATTCAAGGTCTATTTTTTGTTTTTAAATCAACGAAATATTTAATTAGGTTACCAACCACCAGCTTTGGATAATTAATATTTTTTTTTGTAAAAAGTAATTTAAAATGAATTGTTATTGTAAATATCCCTGACATTTCGGTTGTTTAATTTTTCATACATAAAACAAAATTGGATTTATTTTTTTTTGCCTTGTATATAATTGAAACCATTTCTTTTATTTGTATGATTAGGTTTTACTTTTTATTGTTAAAACCTCACTGCGCTTATTATTTCAAATTTGTCTCTTATGTATCACAGAAGAAAAATTGTAATTAATTACCCAGTTGTATATTTTTACCTTAATACAGTTTCTATTAACGTACTTTATTGTAAAACCCCACTAGTGATATTCTTAGTACAATATTTTTAAGCAAAATGTAATAAACCATTTTGAATGTTACGTCATTTGTTGAAAAATAAAAACTTCTATTCTATAAAATATTTAAAAAAAGATCCTATATAAAATATTGTTTTTTATTTAAACCCAAATTTCTTCATGCAGTTAAAGCGTTTAAAAAATGTTATAAAACATGGTTTATTTAAAAGTGGAAGAATACTGAAAAACATATTATTGACCACAGTATACTCTGCACCATTTAAGGTAGGTGTATGGGCAACCTTTGCTTAGCTGAGGGCGTAATTTCGGGACTTAATTAGGTCGCGGGCCAGTGAAAAAAATTAAATTAATGGTATTTACTATCATATCCACAACATTCTTCAATCGAATGGACTACGAGCACAAGTTTTGTAAGTGAATAATGCAATGCAGAATTATTGAAACACATTCTTCCACATTCATAGCGGTTGCTCTTTCCTTTAGAATTTCTATAAATTCTTTTCGTGAATCGACCATTGAAGGCGTGCCATCCTTGCACACTCCAATTTACACCACTACAAACCATATTGCTCAAAAGTACTTTGCACCTCGGCAAAAATATCTTTTCCAGTAGTGATCCTTTGTAGCAGTCGTAGAACCAGTAATTCCTCTGTCACTACAACTTCTTCATCAACACCTCGTATAAAAATAGCTAACTGGGCTGTATCAGATAAATCTGTACTCTTGTCCTAAGCAATCGAAAATGCTTGAAAACAATGTATCAGTAATTTTTTTGATATCACTATCATATGTATACGTTGAACAACAGCACGTCACGATAACTTCAATTTTTCAAACTCTTTCTTCTTTTCTGGGCATAAAAGTTTTGCAACGTCTACTAGGCCCTCTTTAACAAACTGTTCCTCAGAAAATGACTTCGATGTTTTGGCTATTTTGGAATTAATTATAAAACTAGCTTTAACAACACTGTCTAGATTTGATCTTTGTGATTGGAACATTTGTTGCTGTTTCCCTAAATCGGTAGTGAGTTTTTTAATTTTTACGTTCTAAACTGGTCGATGAGGGGATATTGAGCAAAATGCAAAAGTTAACTTTATATTGTATTCTTTTAAGACAGAAATTGTTTCATTGCACAACAAACACAGGTTTACTACTGTGCAAGATAAAAACGTATTTATAAGTCCATTTGTCTTGGAATTGACGACATTCTGTGTCCCCTTTCCTCTTTTTTGAAGTAGACATGTTTTTGTTTGAATATTTTCCGCGTCGTACTCTCGATCGTACGTGAATATGCGATGCGAACTATATCAGTTGTTAAAAAGTAATGAAAGGTTTATATATTACCTCCAATAAGCAACTATAATACTTTCTATGGTATGTGAGCGCTTCAAGACCATCGGGCGGCTTCCCGAGTACGCCTAATATTATTTATCGATTTTAGTCATTATGAGTTGAAGAACACAGTGGCATTCCACTGCGTACGCTTAATACAATTATAAATAAACTATGTCTGCAAACTCTATAATTTTTTTTGTGCATTATTTGAATTTTCTGGATCTCTCGCGGGCCGGATTGAAGCTGGTGGAGGGCCGGGCGTTACCCACATTTGATTTAAGGTAATAAATAACACTTAGCTATGTATCCTAACTACACCTAAAAACGCAAATTTATTATATACACACACCTTTTCACAACTTCCATGCATC